ATAATATCCTCTAACTTTCTTGTATATTGACTGATTACTGTCTTCGATTATTCCACATCAAGTCAGCATCATTACATTACTTCTTGTGTTAGTATCGTCGTGAAAATAAAAGATACTTAGCTGTCATTCGTTGAGGTGATATTAAGTACTCAACTCTTCTTACGTAACCATTTCTTAAATTAGGAAAGTTTAAATGTTGTAATGACTGACAGACTGGTTTCAACGTAGAACTTTGCGCAGATGTCCACCAGATCGATTTGCCACACTCCCTCCGTTTAGAATAAAGAGAGATTCAGACCAGAGAGAAACATCATAAACAGAAGTGTGGGCGAGGCATAAAGAAGAGTAATGTGGAAGAACAATAAAGTTTCATTGAACATGATCAATCATTGTGATGAGTGAATGAGTAACCGACAGCCATCACCGACAACGATTTTTAGCCAGCCATATCACCGAATGTCTCCAGCCTTCATTGGTTTTCACCATCATGGGGGCCTCAACCAAACAGCCGACCAGTCAGTCAGGCAATTGACTTCGATGAAGCAAGACGGCTACAACTAGCTGACTCCTTTCTAACCTCATCCATCCCATGTCAGTCAGTGGCTAATATTGCCCCACCCGTCGTCGAGGAAGGCGATGGCTACACATACATGCATAACACATGTCTTAACCATCCACATCAATCGGTGTCACTTCACAACCAGCTTGTCAATAAATTGATTTTGCCTCCTTCTTTATCTACCACTCGACCGACGTATGCTCACCTTATTCTACCATCTAGCACAGGTTATAGAACGCAGGCACTTGTGGTCCAGTACAAGTACTGGACTCGTATCTTACTGTTTCTATGGCCATATTTCACAGCTGGCCAGCCAGCCAGTCATAAAGGAATATAGAGCGAACTGCTACTGAGCAGTACACACGCCCTTTGGTCGACATCCAGCCATCCAGTCAGTCGGATATCATTTCCAGCAAGCCAAATAGAGATGACATAAGCTGAGTTGGCTGAAAAATGCTCAATCAACCTTTTGTATCCGTGTCCGGCTGAGATTTCGTCAGCCAACAGATCAACCCGCTGGGTTTGGCTGAGTTGATGCAACTGCTCAAATAGTGAAGTGTCAACACCCCCAGCCAGCCAGTGAGCCATCACTTCACTCCTAAGTGCCTGCCTATCCATAAGCTAGGAGTGAGTTGATGTATTCCAGTTCAGTTTAATCCTGTAGCTTACATTTGACAGCATCACGAGCGATTCGCTCCCCATACCAAACATTCGAAGATTGCTGTTCACCTCAAGGTGTTCAGAACATCGCGTCTGCATTTTGTCACCCTCTTCACCTGGAAGGAGTGTATCATCAACCGCATATTCTAAGTCAACGAGACTATTACTCCCTGGTGGTAACAAGTCAGTCCCTGAGTCGCCAAATCATTTAGGGTTAAGTCCACTAGCACATACATACATCTCTGATGAAATTAAACAGAAATGGGGACAGTGGCTATCCTCCTCTTGTTGGCCACCACTGGTTGTTAGCACAGTTGTCAGATGACAACTCTCCATAGGCTCTCATCTGACTGACTGGCTGGTTGACCGCATGATGTCGAGTTATAACGACATTTCCATCGACTGTAGCTTAAAGACAGAGTTTAAAACAATTAGTACCTTTTATAAATTTTCATAGCATTATTAGAAGACGGAGATTATCCGAAAAACAATGTTATGTATTGGCGCTATACATTTTGAACAATCTGATCCCTCACACATTTACTGGTCAAGTCAATATATATGGAAGAGTTAAATTAAACAAAGTGACAAAAAAAGAATTAGGAAAAATTAACACAAACGTTTGGTAATACAATCAAATAAGTATTACCAAGGTAGGTTAAGAGTAATAACAAATTGTTTTTGAATACACAATAGGGGCTTAAGTTTATTAATAGCAATAGCCTCAGCGTATTTCAGTAAACGCCGTTTTTAAAGGCTGAGTTGACATCGATCTTATGTTTCATCTTGATCAGGTTTTTAGCTATAGACGAAGTTGGTTGTCGGACACTTGCATATATTGGCTTGTCACAATTCATTTGTTTTTCTAACCATTTTGGGATGTGCTCGCTGTCCCACCCTCAAGTGCACAGCGCGATTACTCCTCCCTATGTATGTATGACCACACACACGAAAATTGGTAAATTGTGTGGGATGTGATATAATCACTTGTGCACTTTTGAGGTTTGAAGTGAAGCATATTCTTAGCTCTTTCCACAATTACAAGCTGAGCTGCATAGTAGGTTCTACAGATGATCGAATTCAACCTTTGTCTGAAAATCCTACTGTTTATTTTCCCGTTATGTGGTAATTTTATAGAGACTGAAGTCGTTGAACGTGTTGACCACTTCATTTATTCTAGAATTTTCGTGTCAGTCCTAATAGGACTGGTCGCTGACGAAATCTCATCACGGATACAGCAAGCTCATGTAGGATTTATCAAGTTACGTGATAACTGACGTGTGTACTGCACAGCAGTTCGCTGCCTTCTCCTTTTATGGCTTTGTGCTAGAAATGACCACTGAAAGTGGAAGACATGAAAAGGCCAGCTACCTGTGTGTTTGCTCATAAGTGTTTCCCATGTTATAGGTGGTGTAATAGTCCGATTAGTACTTAGGTTAGGTAATTGGGGGAAGTCAGTCTCGTTGAAGTTGTGCAACTGTATTGATTGTGAGAGGGTTATGACATGTGTTACGCATGTATGCTTGTCTAGCCATCGCTTTCCTCAATGATAGAATATATGAATGACGCGAAAAAGGACATATTTTCTGTGATCGATTTATCCACCATCCGTTGCCTAGCATTCTACATCTGAATGAAAAATATCGACCGTGGATAGGTAGCACCGCCCCTTATCTTTGCCTAGTGAATTTCACATTCAACTAGCTGACATTGCCTTTGTCCAGTGTTCCAAACTTCCATAATCTCATCTTAGCACATTTAAGTGGTCAACAGCCTACAAGGCAAATCATGTGGCGATCAAATTGCAACTCTACGCATCATCATCATCTCAGAACGATGCATAGAATGACGGTCAAATCTTCACCTCAAATTCATTGCCTGCAGAAAGGGTCTTCACTCATCTTCTTGTCTACCTCTGTGGGCTATTTGGAACGTGGCAACTCGAACTGGTGCACTTCGGTGCCAAGTTCTATGTCGAATCCAGACAGACAGAGACAGGGTCTTCGATAGACAGCGTTGGCTGATCATAGGTGCCTGCGCTCTATTTCCCGTGTAAAGTGGCATAATAAGGTGAGCAACATTGAGGTTAGGCGTCGAGTTCTAGGTAAACAGGGGAAATCAATCGACAAAGTCGTGAAGTTACAAAGACTGAGATGGTTAGGACATGTGTTACGTATGGGAAGCCATCGCCTCCCTCGACGAGCTATGTTAGCGGATATAGGGTCAGGCTGGAAGAAAGCTAGCGGCGGTCAAACAAAAACTTGGCCTCACCAGTCAATGAAATCCACAACAGTTGGTCTAAGCCATGTAGGAAGGTGTAGACTTCCAGGCTGGGGTCCTCGGGACGGTAAAAATCTATGGTTGGAAACAATTGGTGACATGGCTCAAAATCGTTCTCAGTGGCTGGTGCAGATGCATCCACTCCTTGTGACTTATGATCTCCAATGAAACTGTTTTGTTCTTCGTTATTACTCTTCCTTTGTCTCACACCTCTGCTCACTGTTTCTATTATGCTTTTCTTGTACTTTCTTCTCTTGCTTCGCGTGCTACACGGAATGTGGCTACTTGAACTTCCGCACATTTGTGCAAAGTTCTATGTCGAAAACAGACAGACAGACAGACAGTTGGCTTAGAAGTAACATGGAAGCTACCTCAACACTATGGTGTGTAGTGTCCCAAATATGATAGAGAAGATTTGTAGCTCATGTAGACCATTTTGATATGGTTGTGTTCTCTGAACTGGATAGTTAATTCGCGAAGCTTTCATCACCCTACTAAGCGACATCTTCAGCGCATACTTCAATTTGAATTGAAGTGACATTTTAGATTGCTCCACGAGTTTATTAATCATCTCTCCTGGTCGGTGACCATCTTGGACGTAATTGGTTGTTTCTGTGTGTTTTCACTCCCTCTAGGTTACTTGCATTGTAACTGATTGTTTCTTTGACTTGAACTTTGACCGTTTGTGTGTGAGGTTTCTTATTGGTTGATAAATTTTGTCTATCTCGATGTGTCTATTGATTGATGATTCACCGGAATTCCAGGTATGCTTCTAAAAATTCTCTCATATTCTCGGTGTTGTTTCCTCTGTCTAATATTTGAACGTTGGTTGTCTCAGTCAAATTGATATCCGTGGTTGTTTGTATGTAGTGATATGAGGGGGTGGATATCATGTCTTTCGACGGCTAGTTTATGATCGTGGATACGAAGACGAAGGGGAAGTCTACTTTGGCCAATGTAGTGATTTTCGCAGTTGTTACAATTTATTTTGTAGATGATGTTGGTTTTATCTTCTTTCGCTGTTGAATCTTTCGGTTGACATAGAATTAATTGAGTGAAGTGACTTTGTTGGTTTGTGTACGACATCAATTCCTAAAGGTTTGAAGAGTCTTGTAGTGGTTTCTGAGATATCCATTATATATGGTAAGGCGATTTTCTTTGTTCTTTCCTTGGTGGCCTTTGGTTTGATAGGTTGGCTCGGGGGTATATGTCTTTTGATGAAATTCCGTTCCATTCTTTTGAAAGATGTGCATGAGATATCTTTCTTCAGTTTCCCTTAAGGTGGGAGTGCTGCAATAAGTCCTTGCTCTCTTGAATAGTGTTTGTATGCAATTCCTTTTGTGTGTTATTGGGTTGTTGCTGTTGTAATTCAGGATTTGGTCTGTGTGAGTTGATTTTCTATAAACTTGAGTTTCTAATTTCCCTGTGGTTGTTCACCTGACTAAGACGTCCAAAAATGGGATTTGGTTCTTGGATTCCTCTTCTTTTCTGAATTTGATGTCGTTGAAGACGTTGTTTATTAAGTAGTTAGTTTTATCTAACTCATTTCTTTTGATTATTACAAATGTGTCGTCGACGCATCAGATTCAGATGATAAGGATAGAAGGCTCTTGTGGCCTGTGTTAATCCTTGCAAAGTATATCTCTGCAGAGATCTAACTTCTCTTTGAAAGCGTTCACCGATGGAGCTGATACTACTGAATCAGGTAAGGAGTTCCAATCGTTGACCACTCTGTGAGAGAATCTAAATTCTGCACGTATTTTAATCGTCCTTGGTTTGAGCACCTTTTTGCGGTGACCCCGTAAATGTATCCTAGAAGGGGAGAAAAGGTTAGAAAGGTCAGTTCCTAAATCACCCTTAAGTATACGGTATGCTAAAATTAAGTCGCCTCTCTTCCTTCGGTATGATAACGGGAAGAGATTTAAATGCTCCATCCTCTTATCATAAGGAAGGTGTGAGATACCACTAACTAATTTTGTTCCTACTCTCTGTACTCTTTCCAGAATATGTGCCTCCTTTTTGAAGCATGGACTCGTCGCTTGTATGCAGTATTCTAGATGAGGCCTGACATATGTTGCGTAGAGTATTTGGAACATGCCCTCGTCTAATCGTTTGAAAGCCCTTCGAATTGCCCATAGCATTCGAAAAGCTTTAGCTGCGGCTGCATTGCAATTTGCAGTTGTTTTCAAATCATTGCTGACAATGATTCCTAGGTCCTTCTGTTCGTTAACATCAGGTAGTTCTGCATCCCCTAGGGAGTACGACGTATAAGACTTCTGACCTAAGTGCATTACCGCGCTTTTCCTAGCATTCATTTCCAAACTCCATAGGCTTGACCACTCAGCTAATTTATCTAAATCAGTTTGTAGGGCCGACCTATCCTCGTTATTGTTTACAGTTTTCCATATCTTAATGTCATCTGCAAATAATAATGAAGATGAAGAAAGAATCCCTGGTAATTCGTTAACGTATAATAGGAATAGCAATGGACCTAATACAGTTCCCTGGGGCACTCCACTGGATACTGCTTTCCATCCTGATAGTACACCGTTAACTCTAACCTTCTGCCTTCTATCCATTAAGTAATCTCTAAACCACTCACATAGGCATTGGTCTAGTCCGAAACCTTTCAGTTTACTAAGGAGACCTAAGTGGGATACTTTGTCGAACGCCTTGCTAAGATCAATAAAAACCACGTCCAACAGATGGTCCCTATCTCTGGCCTCAACCCAGTCTTCCCTAGCCAATAGTAGGTTTGTCAAGCAGGATCGTCCTGGTCGGAATCCATGCTGTTCCACAGCCAACAAGCCATGTGTTTCAACATAAGCTAATAGTTGATCCCTTATAATAGTTTCCAGTACCTTTGCAATAATGCATGTCAGACTTACCGGCCTGTAGTTAGATACCAATTGCCTATCCCCGTCCTTGAAGATAGGGCTTATAATGGCATCCTTCCAGTCCCTGGGTAGCTTAGCCTGCGTCAGAGACATTTGGAAAATCTCCGTAAGCGGAATATATATTATATCCGCCAAGGAAATTAACAGTTAGGGTGAAGTCCATCCGGCCCAGGTGATTTACCTGGCTTCAGTTTAGACAGTAGTTTGAGAACCTTTGTGTGCTCTACCACAATTGAGGGCATCTGAGTGGCGATGGCAGTGACCTCGCCATATCCCTGGGTGGTACTATCAGACGAGAAGACGTCACAGAAGTATTCAGAGAGGTTTTCAGCCTTCCTTCGTCTGACTCAGCCGCTTCTCCACTAATGGTTATGAGTGACGGTATACCACTGCTAGTTTTAGTCCTACGTTTAATATACGAGTAAAACCTTTTTGGGTAATGAACGCAATCTAGTACTAATCGTCTCTCGTACTCTATACGACTCTTGTTAATCGCATACTTACAGAGGTTTCGAATTTTGCGGTAGTCTTTCTGGAAGTTTTCCCTTCCTGTCATAACAAATTGGTCCCATAAGTTCTTTCGCCGTCTTAATAACCTCCTTATTTCACTAGTGATCCAAGGAGGTTCATGCGACGGCTTTCGAGGAGTGTACCAAGGTATAAAAGGTGAAGTGACACGATCTAGTGTATTCCTAAATCCTACCCAAGCTTCCTCGACAGTCCGACTTGTATCAACTGACCAGTCAACCACAGTTGCTGCGTTCCGGATTCCTTGTATATCCGCTTTCCAAATGTTTGGACGAGCAGATTTTGGCCTGTGCATGAGAGAATGAATCCTAAACGTAAAAGCAATGACTATGTGGTCACTGCTGCCAAGCGGCGGAAGGCACCTAATGTTACCAACGTCCTCCTTCTGGTGTGTCAATACCAAGTCTAGAGTAGATGGATCATGTTCAGGGTGATACCGTGTTGGTGCATGCATATGTTGCACGAGTGCACATTCAAGCACTGTCAATGTGAGCTCCCTATTGAAACAGGTATACAAACTAGTGGAGTTTAATTCCCCCCAATTAATATGTGGAGCGTTAAAGTCGCCAACAATCAGACACCTATTTCTACTACCCCACGCCCTCAAGTGATTTAGAACGAAGTCATCAGCTTGGCTAGCAGGACTTCTGTAAATAACTCCGATCGTTAAAGTGCCTTTGTTTAAGTTAATGATGCAACTTGCGGCTTCACTGGTGCCGCTGTCATGAGCTTCTGACAACGTTGACCTGATCCCTATGTCATCCCGGATGTATAGAGCAACCCCCCACCTTTCCGACTACTTACTCTGTCTGCTCGTATGCAAATATACCCACTAACAACCACGTCTCAGTGATAGCAATTACATCAGGTTGTAGTCTTTCAGATAATTCTCCTAATTCGGCGAGCTTATTCCTAAGACTACATGCGTTCGTATAGCACACCGAAACACCTACGTGTTCACCCGGCTTATGAAGAGAGGTCTCGGCAGCATCGGTTTCCGAGACCTCACCACCCGAAAACCCAATAGTTTGAGGTCCTTTTCGCCTTTCTCTAGCCTGGCCTTTAGTTCAGCCACGGCTTCTCTTCTTTTGATTCTATCTTCTAAAGGCCAATCAGGCCTTATTTTTAGACTTTTGTCGTTGACTTTGAACGCGTTGTCGAGGATGGTCCTCCTCTCTGTTTCGTTCCCTAAAACTATCTTAAGTAGTCGTCGAGGAGTTCCTGTAGCATCAGGGTTTCGTTTTCCGATCCTGATGGCCTCTTTTACGTGTACTCCAGTTGTTTTTTTTCGGGAAGTATTTCCCGGATAATGGAGCTGATCGCCTTCAGATCATCTGCATGTCGGGCAGCTGGATCTGTGTTCTTAGATTCCTCCAAGTTCCAGATGATAACACTAACTAGAGTCCGTGGGTTTCTGAGTTTGGCTGGTACTAACAGCCCTCGAGACCTTGTTGTTAAACTCGGCTACTGTTTCTTTTCAAGTTTATTTTGCTTCTTACCTTTCGGCAGCAACCAAGTGGAGTCGGTTTCTCCTACTCTGTTTTCGCCGCGACTAGAAGCCATTCGTGCACTAGACACGCTGCGCTTTGGCGTGGTCATTTCACAGACTGGTGTTGCCATGCTGGCACTACTTGCCCTTTTAGATTTCCGTTGTTTTTTGCGCTTTGCAGCAACAGATATTTGGGCACTCTGTACTTCTTTTGCTTTTGAGGCTTCACGTGAGGATACACCCTCAGTCTTACAACTAAGTCCTGAATCGCCATCCTTAGCTAAGGTTTCTGGTACAGGCTTTTCAATTATGTCTTTTGACAATTTCTTGGACATCAGGAGGCCTACTGCCTCTTGGATGAGGACATCCAACGGGTTACTGCAATATATGTGCAGCCATGGAGATGATGACTTGCAGCATCTCTTATAGGCTACTGGTGATAAACCAGTGCAAACTTTGTGGAACCATAGGCTGCAGTTGTCACACTGCATCCCATCATCCACCGGAAAGTGACAGTCCGGTCGTCCACACTTGTTAGTTGGGCCCATAACTCTAATTTGTTTCAACTACACAATTATATGTACGTGAAAACAACTATACAAATATGTATACGTGATAACAGCTAGGTAAATACCAACCAAAACACAAAATGTGAATAAAATGAACAACACTTCAACTAAATTAATCAGTTAAAGTGAACTAAAAAGCTTCTAATGTGGTTTAAACAACAAAAGCAGAACTTACTTCACAAAGTTAAAAATGCCACTCTCCTTTTTCAAATCGTGCGCGCGCAAATCCAAATCTTGGGTTTGATCTTTGGTAGAATTATGTTTTCGAGCCTTTGCATCACTGCTTCTGCAATCAAATCTGATATTGGCGATCCATCCCATGGGTATTCCTTTAACTTGTTCATATATTTGGCCGTTGAATTGGAAGTATGTTGTTAGGCATAGGTTTATGCATTTCATCCAACTTGTGTGTGTTGCATTTTCGATTGTTATGTAAGGGGGTGTTCTTCGTTGCTGAGTAATTGATCCATGGTTTCTTTTGCTAGTTTTTGTCCGATTGAAGTATATAATGCTGTGACGTCCAAGGATATCATTATTTCTTGTTCATCTATTTGGATGCCTCTGATTTTCTCTAGGAATTAGATAGGAAAGTTGATGGAGTGATCCACAGCATTCCGTTAGGTGTTTTAGTTTTCTGTGTAATGTAGTTTCTGCCAGTGATACAATTGGTCGTGCAGAAATCTAAAAGCTCACTTCAAATTGAAGTATGCGCTGAAAAGTTCGCCTAGTGGGGCGGCGAAACCTTCGCAAATTAACTATCAAGCTTAGAAAATACAACCACATCAAAAAGTGTCCCAAATCTTGAATAACCTCACTCAACCCCTGCATATATGACAGTGCTACGTGTCGGATAATCGACAACGGAAAACTCAGCGAAGCCTGTCTTTGAATTGAGTGAATACCGGAGTAAGACAAGCCGACTGGCTAGCTCCAAGTCTCTCAAAACCTTGGGTGATATTCGTAATTGTGGTGGACTGGACTGGATTATGCGTCAGACTGTGCGTTTGGAGTGAGTGAGTAATTGAGTGCGAAGACGCGAATACGCTGCACTGACAGATAACAAGACTCTAGAACATCTTGGCTTCGCGTGTGGATGATTTATGTCGTTTGATATTACACAAACACGAACTCGACGACATACAGGCAGGCGAAACTGACTGAAGAAGCTGGTTGGCTTGCAGCAAACGCAGGACTCACTCCAGGTGGACATAGAGAGTATGGAGATGGAGCTAACCAATCAACCAACCACTAACAGCAACAATAACAACAACAAGCACTAATCACCGTTAACAGGGGAAAGAGGTTGACAGAGGTTACTTCGTGCCTTCATTTATCTAGCCTAGGCTGCAGCATTGTTTCAACAACCACAGACAGTCGGAAAGGATGAAGATGTCAAAACCAGCCAGCCAGAATCGGAATGGCACGATACACCTTCCATCAACCTGAAAGTAGTTTCGAAATCTTCAGCATCCCCCCCCTCAGCATAAACAACAAGATTTGGATGTTCAACACAAATATCAGCTGCTTCTATATGTATGGATCAGAAACTTGCACTGCGTGTGTGTCACGAAAAAGATTTTCAACAAGTGAAAAGCGCGGCCACCTTCGCTGGCTAGCTTTATATTGATGGTCAAATAGCCTACCAGCCAGAAAGAATTAGCAACAAGTAACTCTGAACAAACCAACCGAGAGCTGTCGATTACTCAAACAAAATATGTAGGAGAAAATGGAGATGGAATATGACTGGGCATAAGCTGAGGAAGGAGGCTGTCGAATGACATCGCGCTCAACGCAGGCCATCGCGTTTGAAGTCTTAATGGGAAATGGCCAGTGGGTGTTCTGTGCGATGGTGACATGGTGGACATCTTGTGGGGAGGACAGGAGAGGCTATGGGCATTTGTGAACCCAACTGAAGAGAAAAATGAAGATGTGTTGCTGAGGCCCTGTGTTCAACTCGGAACCCGAGGGAATAATAATTTTTTCTTTCCTTTACGTTCCCAGTGGAACATAAGGGCACTTTCAAGCTAGTGGCTTGAAGTTTCTGTAGCAGTGTTGAATTTTGCAGGATGGGGTTGCTATCCTCATACCCAACCTTTCCTCTTTATCAGCATTATTTCTGGCTTAGCGAGGTAAAGGAGTGCGTCGTCGGCCTGGAATCAAACCCCGAACCATGTGCGTGGTCGGCGAGCGTCCTAATCGTTGTGCCACCAACGCACTGCAAGGGAGTAATAATAATAAGTAATAATTCTTGTAATATCAACAGCATTGTTATGATAGGGCGTAAATCGGATGCCTCCTATGTCAGCATCAGTTTCTATTTTCGAAATTTTACTTGCATAACTCCAACCTCTTATAATTTATTAATTTATATATATTCCGCCCAGTCACCTTCTTTATTCTTCCCCTTTAAGCTAAAACAAAGAGACTCATTATCAATTCATTTGGTAAAAAGTTCATCTGGTCGTCTCATATCTTGATGATTTCTAAGAAAATATTCCGTCTTACCTTCTCCATCAAGAAGTTAAGACATTGTGGAATAATCCAAACCCAACCCTTACTCCTACGATTCGTTAACTCTTGCATCCTGCCTATTATTCTCTATTGTTCCCCCTTAGTATTTCCAGGGCTACTGAAGAAAGACTATACCTATACGCAGGATGTTAAAGGTTGTCAGCAGGGTGATAAGCAATGTGCCACTTAACCAGCTTGTTAATATTCTGGTCGACAGGCACTTGGACTCATGTGAAAAATGAGCTAAATCCATTTTATTTAACTCACACCACCACCCTCTTCATTCACAACTCTCCCCTTGTATCTCATCAGGCAAAACCAGAAGCCTATATAGGAAACTATATGCTCGCACTAGTAAGTATAAAAACTCAACCATACCATGATGGGAACGATTCAGATATCTATTTTTCATAAACAGACATGGAGTGGACAATATTTTCATTTTATCAGTTTTGTTCCTATCCAGTATAAACGTTCCATAAAGAAATGTTTGTGCTAAGGGGCCCGAAAAATATGCACGAGTGACACATTGATAGATAAGTTTCGACATAAACATTCAGTTTTATCAGCTATTGGTTATCCAGAAAACTTTATCACTTGTCACAGTAAGGAAAGACCACATCTCGAAAAATAAGCTTCTGTACTAAAGAAAGCTATCTGTCTTTATTAACCTGAGTGATCAAACTGTGCAGTTGACGGCTAAAAGAATTCGGTCTGCCATCAAACGCACATTCTACGCCACATCTCGAACATTTTCCATACCTGCATCTACGATTAAAAGGCGAAATTCTGTGGACTCTAATTCACACTGTTTCTACGAGTTCACCTGCAGCTACGGTGACACTCATATAGGTAAAACCAATAGAATCCTCCAATGTCGTCGAAAGGAACGTGTTCAAAAATGGCTACTAAATCATATCGAAAATCTTAACGCGATTAATCTGAATAGAAATTCAGCATCATCAATTGCAAAGCACTTATTAATGAATGTCAGGTCACAAAATCAATCAATATTAATGACTGCTTCACAATTATTTCATCACATAACTTTGATTCAAGGTTGACTATTAAAGGTGATGGAAGCCCTTTGGGGATTAATCACATAGATCCTAAACTATGTGTAGAGTCAAAACAATAGACTTCAACCTTTGCCTACCATGGACTGACTACTTGACCTATTTAAATATGATTGATAGTGTGAAATATTCCCAGGCCCTCGAGTGGAACCCGAAAGGGAAGCGGTGAGTGGGGCGTCGGTGCAAGGGTGATATGGAGGAGATTGTGTGAAGAGGAGTTGAAACAGTATGGACTAACATGGATGCAGGTGAAAAGTACAGAAGACAGAAGCAAGTGGAGATGTGCAGTTGAAGCCCTATGTTCCACTAGGAACCCAAGGGAACAATAGGAAATTATTACAATTATTAATAATATTATTATCATTCGACGTAATATATGCCCTTCATGCAAACATCCCTTCAATACTATCGAATTTTTCATTAATACTATCCGGACTTATTATAAATGATATTATCTCTTTTCTCAATATATGCCTCCATCTATTTCATTTCACACATTCTTCATTTCATTATGAACCTCTCATTGTAGTCTTCCTATCTCCTGTTTAACACAGACCAGTTTGTACTAGCCACACCTTTTGTAACCTTGAACTGATTTGCCAATTTTCCTACCGCACACTCTAGAAATCTATCACCACCATTGTCTCCCGTTTTACAATATTTTGTAATCAATTTCAGCCTAGGACGTTTGTCACATAAATAGGACTATTTATTTTGGCACCCGATAACTGCTAATCTGTTATCCTACGTAAAAGAATGGTATCCACCGCATAACTGGCCTTTTTTGTAACGACAACAAATATTATATTTGTAACAACAGAAGACAAGGGCTGGCAACAGATCGTTTTATTACGAAAATCAACACGTATTTATATATATTTTATGTACATTAATAAGGCTTATGCAAGCATAAAAAGGCAGTCTTCTGATTGGTTGTTTCTCGAAAGTTAAGCAGACAAACACAGTCTTCTGATTGGTTGTTTCTCGAAAGTTAGGCAGACAAACACAGTCTTCTGATTGGTTGTTTTCGACATTTCTCGGAAAGTAGAGCCATTTATCTGCGAATCATATTTGTCCACGTTTAAGTTTGCTGTGATTGGTTGTTGAAACATCCTTGTTCATATTTTCTCACGGCCCATATTAAGTGACCTAGACATTGACGTAGATTAATGTCAACCAATCGGCTAGCAGCCTGCTCTCACCACATATTTTATAACTGAATAGGAGAAATTATTGAAAAGAGTCTTTTTCGTTCAGATTAACTTTTAAATATGATCGGTCATTAGTATGTACTTTTGTTTTTTTTATTTAATTGAGTAATTGTCATGATCTTTATTTTATTATTGTTAACCATGTTAGTTGTGTAAAGCGGAAACTACGAAATGGCGATATCATCTCGCGGTGAAATATGTCTTGCGAATGTCTTCTTTATTCAAATATTTATCAAAGGGACTAATTGTTTTATTGAAATCAACTGTGTGTGTGTGTGTGTGATATTTAGGCAGATTCAAAAGTTAAAGATCATTTGAGTGGTAAATTCAAATTGTGTTTGTGTTTTTTCTTACAGGTATTGCACTGTCAATATTTCAATCCACTAAATCATTTGGCAACAGAAAATGATTCAGATGAAGATCTAATAGGTGGTGGTTACTCCTTTCCATCGCCGTCATCATCAACGTCGGCGTCGCCGTCGTCGTCTGCATCATCGTGTATACACATGCCTACACATGCACCACAGCACAATAACACAAGTTATAATATCAGTCATAACGAAAATAGTAATAATAATCATAATAATAAATCAGTGCAGAGAATCAATGAGAATGATGAAAGAGGTGGTCATCACCAGCAGTATTATTGTTATTATTACCATAGAAGTCTTCGCCCAGAGATTGGATTGATTCCGTCTACACTAGCCGAAAACATCCCACTTCCATTCATGCTCATTCCGACAAGTGAATTGGCATCAGGTGATTCACTTACCTGCACAGTTGTCAATATTTTGGTAAGTATGCTATATATATAGTATAACAGATGACTTATATTCTCTCTTATTTATGTTATCATTACTAGTTTCACAATTATTTTTATTTTGCTTTTGGCCTATACTGATCTTCCTGATGAATTTTATAGGATAGTTACTTATTTAACACCAACACCTCTTCTATCTGTTTTATTTCGTCATTTAGGTATTTTCTTGTGCTCCTTAGTGCTACTATTCGGTTTGTTAGACACTTAACTAAGCCTGCTTTAACAGTTAACGGATGAGACGAATTAGAGTGTAAATGTCTATTAGAATGCGTTGGTTTTTCATAAACGCGGGTGTGAAGCTTACCTTCTGCTATTCGTTTTATTTTACAACCTAATAAACCTAACTCTTCCTGTTTACCTTCCAATATAAATGTGTATTTTATTCCCAATTAGACAAAATAATATAATTTATAAAATACCCTGCAATCACTGTGAGGTCAACTATCTAGGTCAAACAGGTAGATCGGGGTAATCAGATTGTCGAAACACAAGAATTTAGCTAAGGGAAGAATGGTTGACTCCGAGAAAATGAGTAATTTAGAAAAAAGCTCAGCACTACATTCCACTGAATGCATGCATTAACACACAACCACACAATAACAGGGTGGGAGAGGGTGAAGATTCTAAGAATTAATATAGGTAGGTGGAGAAAGAGAGGTTGATTACTGAATCCTGTCTTGTTCATTGAGTGTACACCCAACACATGCAACAGAAATGACTCAATACAAATACCAGAAATATTCATGAAAGATATTATTACCAGTCAGTCAGTCAGTCAGTCAAATCAGAGGAGGATAATAAATAATCTTAAATTGTATTCTATTTCAATTCATGCATACCACAACATTATAACAAGTTACTTATTTCGACTATAAAAACACTCATCTTATTTCCCATCTTATTATTGTATTTGATTAATAGCACTCATATTCTTGTTATTATTCCTGCATTTGCATTATCCTATATCACTGATTTTTATTCAGATGTTTAATGAAGTAAAAAGTGTGAATAATAACTTGATGTGATAATGAGTGGCAATAATAATTTGTGTTCGAAGCGTGTAGTCGCATCAGTTAATATTACTGTATAACAAACACTGCACTGTGTGTGACAGTTTATCAAAATAAAATCTTATTCATAATGGAGCTATACTTTACCAACACAGTGACCAAGTTTTATACTTTTATCAATAACACCATTTGCTTAATCAAATGTTTCAGCACACCGATAAATGTGTTACATTTCAGCGAACACGTAGGTAAATTACCCTATTCCAGGTCCTAATTAATACATATGTAGCTTATTTGCAGTCACTTGTGTGGACCTTAGTCGTTCGAAATGTAAACCGTCAGCCACTTAACTGTTTTCAGTAATCGAAGTGGCTTTTTTCGGTGTTGCTTTTTGTAATTATAATTGAATAATCTTATCAAAGTCAAAGTCCGCATAGCGCACACTAATTGCACACGATATAGATTAGAATTGGTTAATTAATATGCGTGTTTGCATAAAGCAAGAACAACAGTGTGTTTTGTGCCTTATATTATGACACCATTGTTTGTTTATATCGTTGACTTCGGCTGCTTACAGCCTACATATAAAATATTTTCAAGTATTGGCTTTTTAGGGATTTTTGTTTGGTTGCATGGAGGATTTCATCATGACCTGACATCATTTAGGGAACCACTGGAAAACCTGGGTGTACTGGACATCTCTTTCGTCCTAGTTTGGGACCATTGGATCAGGTCTCAGAGGCTCAAGATCTACGAGCTCACCTTGTAACCGGAAGGTCCTGGGTTCATACTCCGGTGGGTGCCTACTAATGAAGAGTCCCAAACCAGGACGAAACAGCTGTTCAGTACTCTCAGGTTTTCCAGTGGTTGTCTAACTGATGTCAACTCATGATATAAATTATTGTTAAGATTATGTACAGAAAAGTCTTGACTAACTCGCAAATTTTACATGATGTCAGTTGACAGGAGGTTCTCTAACTAGTGAACAGCGCTCAGAAAACTAACGCTTATATCGCTTTTACACAGGGAGTTCATGTTTGAACAAAATCAGTGTGCGCATACGGTGGTAAAGGAGTTAGGTAACAAAGAAGAGCAGAAGTGCGTAAGATGACGAGTAACTAATAATTTGGTTAACAGTGTGCTGAGTTCATCTGAAATCATAGAAACAAGAGACAAGCAAAATTACACTATATCAAAGCTGATGGGGGGTTGAGGTTGAAGCCAAAGGTTACGTAATCAAGCGGAAGAGAGAGAGACAGTGAAGATATCCAGTTACCAGCCAGGGCTAGGAAAGACTGGTGATAACTGCTTCTTCCTGAACACTTGAATCGGGTTCCAGGCGTTTGATAGAGATTATGGCTCCGGGAAACTTGAGGAGAATTGAGCTTTTTTATCCATTAATAATTTGAAAAGATTTCATGATGTCCATCTCATGCTTCCGTGCTAATGACGTTCCCTTGAGATTTAGGCGCTTTGGTACATATTCTTTTTCCTGTTCTCTCAGTGTAACTGCTACCGTATTATATATATATATATATATATATATATATATATATATATATATATATATATATATATATAAGTGTAATTTTGTATACACAGTTTGAGTTTGATCTGGGAAGGATATCTGTGTAGATTTTGAATTATTTAAATTAATCCCAGCGTGTTTTAAGAAAAAATCGAAACAAGATCTGTATTCTAAACGGTTTGCTGTGTAAGCTGTCACAGCTTCTTCAGCAGAATTATTCGGATTTTATTAATCACCAAATTATATATTTATTTGGTGGATGGTGACTAATAGTGTAGTCCAGGATAATGCGCATTTCGTCCTATTTGGGACTCGTAATCTAGATGTACCTGCATTTCCCAGTGAGTGATGATGTTCCTACTGAAGCTCGAACCCAGTGCCCATAGTTTCAAACGCCTAAGCGTTATTCACTAGACCACTTGGGTCACGAGAGCCACCTCTTGTGCAACGGGTCATATTAATTATTTAATTGAATTTTAGATTTTCCCGTCGATTGATTGGACCGAAGTGCTTGGTCTCAGGTTGACATGTCGGCTTTGGCGTTTGAAACTATGGGCACTGGGTTCGAGCCTCAGTGGGAACATCATCACTCACTGGGAAATGGAAATGACGAGTCCCAAATAGGACACGCATCCTGGATTCCACTGCTAGTCACCATCTACCAATTATACACAAATTAGAATTGGTTAATTAAACTGCGTGCAATTAAAAGACGGTAGTCATTCATCATATGTTGCACTCTGTCGTTATTGTGTTGCTAGATAATACTTGCAATCAGTTAATTAATACACATTGTATTGATTTTGTTTTCTTTTTCTAGCGAGGTTTAGGCCTTTTAGATCGTTGTGGTGTTGAAGATTTATGCGCAAGCCTATATGACTTTTGGAATGATGACAATAATAGTCATATCCCCGTGTACCCAGTGAACTCTTTGTTCAAGTCATTAATGTTTCCCAGTTGTTGGGAATCTCGACTTGATGATACTGTCGTCACGCGGTCATCATCTTTCACTTCATGTACCCTGGTGAATAATACACGACGATCAACAGTGCCTGGTGAACATTATGCCGCTGAACGTGATCATTATAATTTATTCAATTGTGAAAATAAACTAATCAATGGTAGCTGTCTAGTCAGTTATCTGTTATCGTGTAGTTATATGGGTACAAGTTTTCTTGTACCACATTCAATCTACGATGCTAGTGATACATCCCCGCAGTGTTGTTCACGTCCGTCAACAGCTTGTTGTCATTTTGTAATTGATCGAAGCCAGCAAACGGCATCTTCCTCATCATTGTTATCATCGCAATCATCGCCATGTAATAATCCGACGGCATATCATACAAGTTTAGTTCAACCAACAATGAATTGGCATAGAGGATGTGCTAATAATCTTGTCCTTATGCTTACTCATCATACGACAGGCTCTAAAAATTCCTCGTCTGTTGTTGATAAACTGTTAACTGGTCGATTTTTCCCCGGCTATTCGTCATGGCAATCTGTATGGCCATTCAACAATAAAAATAATCGTAAATATTTTGATTACAAGTCGTCTACTACTCAAGAAAGTACTACTACTACTACTACTATTAATAATAATAATATGACAAGTACTCTCGCATTATGGTTTTCTGCATGGTTACACTGTGGGGCAGTACCTGTGTTAGCTCAGTTATCGGATTCTACTCATCATTCAAGTGATCAGTGTAATTTGTCGGATTTCTCTCTACTGAATGATAGGTCTAAAAATCCTCCCCATCCTCCGCCTCCTCCGCAACCATCACCTCCACCACCACAAGAACTTGTTTGGCGTCATCGGCTTGTTTACGGTGTTACGGAAAAAAGTATGTTATATGCCATGTCAACATTTCATTTGATTTCATTTTTTTCTAATTTGTATTTTTTGTTTTTAAGCGTTTGTTATATAAAGTTGTTAACTGGTTTGATTGTTTGCAGGACTCTGTGACGACTTATAAACAAGTAGGCAGTGGAAAAAGTTGACTGTTATTAATAGAAGACACACACAGTACTGATGTCGAAAGAAGAAAAACGAACTCATTTCTGACCAAGAACTCGAACTTAGGACAAAAGTGTGACTTGAGAACGTAATGCTAGGAGTGCGACTAGCTACGCCTGACTGACTTCCAGAGTATTTAAATCCCTCCAAGGGGGAAATATACAAACAAACTGAGGGAATTGCCATAGGGTCACCAATACCAATATCCCCGGTTGTGGCAGATAGGTATTCATGGATAGGTGGGAAAACATGGCGGTTTGAAACGTTCAGCCCTACCCACCCCGAAAAATATGGTGTAGGTATGTAGATGACATATTCACTGTATTTAGAACACACGATATAGATAGGTTTTTCGAACACATCAACTCGAACATGGAGGCAATTCAATTCACTTATGAATTAGAAAGTAAGGAAGGAGAGATTCCAATGTTAGATTGTAGCAAGAAAAGGAAAGAAGATGGGAAGTTAAACACACACTAGTGTTTACAGGAAACCCACACATTCAAACAGATATTTAGACTTCCGATCATCCCATCCTATGTCAATAAAAATGTGATTGGTGAAATGTTTAAGTGACAGAGCAGAAAAACTAAGTAGTAACAAGAAAAATCTAAGACAGGAAGTGATACATATAAGAGAAGCTTTGAAACTTAATGATTATCTTGATAAATTAGTCAAGAAATATGTAGGGAAATGTAAAAATAAAATAAATAATGATAGTAGTGATAGGGATAATAATAATAATATTAATGACGACATGCAAGTCAAATGTGCGCAAGACAACATCAACAATAAGGAATCTAAATCATCAGTAGTAATTCCACACAAGCAAGGAACCTCGGAAACCACCTTACTCAGAATTCTTAACAAGGCGGGCAAGAATAAAAGCTGCTGGAATTCAAACCAACCACAAACTCAATTAGAAACAAGCTTTGTCGGTGAAAAGATCAGTCCTGTGGAGGCAATAAAACAAAACAATTCAGTTTATCTAATACCCTGCCAGCAATGATTGTCAGGTCAAATAGATAGGTGAAAGTAGTAGAACAGTGGCAGTGAGTCAGACTAGCCGAGAATAAAAACCCAGCAGCAAAACCTAGATTGGTTGACTCGAATAAGATAAGAAATCTAGAGAATAGTTCAACCGTAGATAGCACTCACTACATGCTATCACACCCACACAACCATACAATAGGCTGGATGGGATAGGATGGCAGTTTTAAAATCTAACGTCACAGGGTATAGGGAGAGATTGATAACGGGAAGCTTTGTTTATCGAATCAACTGCAAACACATGTAATAGGAGTGATTCAACACCTGTCCCAGATATCTGGCAAATTGGAGAGGACAAAGAAAACTATAAAACTCAAGTCTGGAAGTCGTTATGATTGTGATTGGTATGATTATGAACAGTAATAAATTTTAATCGAAACGTTATCCAGTAGACAATACTGTTTCACTCACTGTGTGATACATCTAATAAACAAACTAATATGGAATTGCTTCTTATTTTCCTTTTTGTTCTACCATATACGAAACCGATATTCATGTACCCTATCCGTCATCGATTTTCATATGAGTGTCAGTCAATACACTTGGTAGTTACGCTAACGAATTTTCTACCTAGAGTCGATTCGTCAGCCTATCGTTCTAACCAATATTTAGCAACAACAGCAACGCCACACACGATGTCGCCGAGAACGCGACGCAAGGCAAGAAGAGAAGGCAGACCGTTGACGTGTAGAACTTTCACTGTCTCGTACCAACACCGATAGTGATTAACCTTGAGAGACACTATAATCACATCGACAAAGTAAAACAGTCATTGGCTAAGTAGAATTCCTCGGTCATAAGTGGGGTGAGAGTAATACAAACAAAGAGGCGTGTGTAAAGGACATGTAAGAATTACTTCTGTGTATCAAAAATTGTTTTCTAGCTCCCCGCCAAGAACATTGTATCCGCATGTGAAATGATTCTTTTTTTTTTAAGGAATATCAGCGGGATGTAACAGTTTTTATTGGGAACAACTAATATGAAAAGAAAAGAAAATACAATTTAACTGGTTAAAAATGCCCATTAAAATTTTTTTCAAAAGAATGGACACTGAACAAAGAGTACTGTTTTCGATAACTTCATCATCATCAAGCTCTACGGTTATATATCCATCCATTATAGTGAATGAATGAATTAGTGTTATGAACAACAACATTAATGTTGCTGTTTAAATAACATCGAATCAATAATATCAGTAGATTACAGTTCACACAGCATAGATGATAGAGAAGGATTCTTCAATGCTGGCTTTTTTGCCGGTTTCTACACGTCTTATTTTCTCTACACGATCGATGGTGATTCCTTGACTGAAAGATGAAGTACCTAGACTAGCTGGCCACTTCAAATTGTATCTACCAATTCAACTGCAAGTGTGCTTGTGGAGCGAGTTATATAGGCCGTTGCTCTAGGAACCCGATTTCTGGTGCTCGGGAACATCTCTCAGTATGGCTAAGTAAAGGTGTAGTGATAACCATTAACAGTTCAATATTGGACCACCTGGTACAAATCGGCCACAAAGCCAGCCAGCGTAGAAGAATCCTTCTCTATCATCTACTGGATGCCAAATAAATTGCCAAAAACATCAAGCACCGCATGCTCCAAACAGCAGAAGCTATTACAATTCGCCTGAAACAACCAGTGCTGCGTGTTCAAAAGAAGCAAGTCTAGCCCTTACTACTGCTCTGGCCTTCAGTGGAGCATAGAAAGTGATGAATTTGTAATGTTATCTTTCCTAGTTTTTGTGACATTTAGTTTATTGTTCTGCTGACGCTGTGTGTACTGCAATCTTTTATTGTTATTCTTACTGATTCGATGTTATTTAAACAGCATTAATGTTGTTCGTAACACTCATTCATTCACTATAATGTGCGTCAGTGGCACAGTGTTTAGGACGCTGACCGACCATGCACATGGTCTGGGATCCGATCCCCTATCGACGCACACCTGATATCAATGGTCGGCCTGCAAAATTTGAGTTGTCGATATCACATGCTGAAAATTCCATAAATATGAGTGGAGAACGGATAAAGAAGAAAGGAAAACAGTCATGCTTAACAAGTTCAAGCAGTATTCGTTAACTATCATCGGGAAGCGAAGAAAGAAGGAAACTGCAACACGTTCGCCATTGATTACGATTCTTGGCCATATCCGATAACTTTTCGAGCTATCTCTCGGACCACAACCAGGGAGTCGTGAGGCACCAACCGAAGCTAATCTAGCACAAAAATCCTTCATCCCACTACGCCACTCATGGACTGACCACCTCTCCGCCTTTTTCATTTCGTTCCAGGGCTAGCGAACAGAGACCTGTACGGAAGCCTCTGGGATGACATTCGGAGCACATGTCCAGATGACGATGACACTCAACGAATGGTGATCTCCATTGTGTTCAAACACACGCGGCCGAACCTCAGAATTACTCACGCGATGATGCCATCCATCGAACGCTAGCAATCCTGCGGAGACAGCGATGATCAAACACCCAGAGTCGCCGCACAAGCTCAGCCCACTCGTAGAGCAAGACAGCCCGCACCGAAGCATTGTATACCCGACCTTTGACAGCCAGACTAACGTCGCGACGGCGTCATAGGTGGCTCAAGTTGATGTATGCCACCTTAGCCTATATATATATATATATATATATATATATATATATATATATATATATATATAGCTAAGTTGCACAGGAGCAAGTGAATTGATAAATGCACATATAATAGTATCATAGATTAATTTCAACCCTGTTGATCAATTTTAATTAATTAGGCGTACATTTAATTTTATTTTTGTTTAAAATATTTTTTTAGATGAAGTTTACCTGACAAATCCAAATGAATTAGTCCCTGTACAATATGTATTAGATCAGTTATCTAGGCAAACAGAAATACGTATTACTAAGGCGCAAATTTCAAATTTATGGACTAAGCATTACTTACATTCTAAGTTTTATAATGACAGAAATCAGACTACAAATATTAATGATAAAGAAATTCTTTCGTGTAAATCTACATTTTTCACTGGCGAAAGTCTCACTTTACTCGCCAGACATCCAGATCCTAGATGGGCTTCCATGAATATAATGGGTAGGTGTTGTTAGCATTATTATTATTATTGTTATTATTGATCATTATCATTGTATTCCTTTGCGTTCCCGGAGGAACATAGGACGCCTTCAAGCCTAAACTTTGACGTTTTAGTAGCCACAGTGTTTTATTTACAACTGGGCAGGGTTGCGCTAGCCAGCCTTACAACTGGCTAGAAGGCGATAATGGTTCGCGCTGGCCCCGGAATCCAACCGTGAATCACTTGCAGTGTGCACGACTGGCTGACGAGCATTTTTACCACCGAACTACCCAAGCATATTGGATAGGGAGGGTTTGGCTGTTCCTACTTTAATCATTGAAATTTAATTTTTGTTTGTTCTGTCGCTGCTTAGTGAGTTTCATTCATCTCTGAATGAGCCGTCGATTGGATAAAGCGTTTTTTAATTATTTTTCAGTCCTTATACTCTTTATTAATACCTGAGAATTGTTATCCAACTAGGCACTGTCTTGTATACAGAAGGTGTTTTCATTTACGTCATATGTGGTGTAGTAGACATGATATTTGTATGGCTATCAATCAAAGGGCGTGTGCACTACGATTCACTTCGCTTTATCCTTGTTTGTGCGTGTCTGTGAGACGTGTCCATTGAGAGTGGAAGACATAAAAAGCCTGTCTGCATTCTATATCCCATGTCAGGTTGTGGACGTAACAGGGAGAGCAATATTGAGGTGAGGCATCGGTCGATCGCTAGATAAAGAAGAAGGAGGGGAAATCAATCAATCAATGAAGTTATAAAGGTGAATCGATTGTGAGATAGTTAGGACATGTGTTACTCATGCCTGCCTGCCTACCCATCGCCTTCCTCGATGAAGAGCAATGCTATCCGCTGACATAGGATGGATGAAGTTGGAAAAGAGTTAGCTAGTAGTTCATTATTACTATTATTCCCTTGGATTCCGAGTGGAACATAGGGCTTCAACAACACATCTCCACTTTCTTCTATTCTCTGCTGTCCTCTTCACTTGGGTCAACGATTGTCCGAACTCTTATCTCTTCCTCACACATGTTACTCCAGGACGACCCACTCGTCGCTTCCCATTGGGATTCCACTCAAGCAGTGGCCTGTTGTCGCGTGATATCATTCTACGACCTCCTCAATGTATGTCCGATCCATCCATCTCTATTTTCACCTGCATATTTTTTGAGCGATCGGCTCTTGCTTGTTGGTGTGTTCCCATAGTTTCTTGTTGCTTATTCTTTCTGGCGGGCAGTTCGATCTTCAGTACTAAGCCAACGAAGGCAGCTGTTGATGAAAGTCTTCACTAGCTTGTTGGAAATCATTTTCGTGACACTCTGGTCAAGTTTCTGACCCGTATAGAAGAACTGACTGATTTCACATTGGTGTTGAAAATCCCAATCTTGTTGCTTATGCTGAGTGACGGCGGAAGATTTCCGAACTGGTTTCAGGTCGATGAAAGCTTGCGTATCTTGCCTTTCCGGTTGTGACTGGCTTTGATATCCAATCCGCCTGTGGTTGAAACGATGCTTCTCAGATAAGTGAAGGAGGCAACCTCTGCTAAATCTCTTCCGTTGATGGTGATTGGTTGGTTGGTTATCTTCATCACTTTGTGTTCACCTAAACAATCTGACGCATTATCCATTCCGCCACAATTAAGAATATCATCGGCGATAATAGGCAGTCAGCTTGTCTTACTAATGTATACCCTTCTAACGCCTCGCTAAGTTTTCCGTTGTGGGATCATGCGACACTTGGTATTGCCACGTAGTCAGCTGTTCAATGAGGTTGATAAAGACTTGGACACTGCACGCCTTAGTGTTGAATTAGTTTCGGTCAGCGCTGTCTGTCTGATATTTCATCAACGATCAACCCGCTGGCAACTTCCCGAATACGTAAATTGGTGGGGAGAACACGCTTTGCCACTTCACTCCTGCCTGCCTATCCTTCAACTAGGAGTGGATTCAATTGAATTATGCTGCATCATTTTGCATTTGACAGCAGGAGCGGATCACTTGCCAAACTTTCAAAGATTGCTCCTCAAGGTGTCCACAAAACTCTGCATTTTATCGGTGTTTTACAACTATGAGAGCTATATCTTCCCAGGCAATGTTACCACTCGTCATTATTTGGTGTAGAGACTTGTCAGCAGTTGCTGCTGAGTTGAATTTTCAAATGTTATCTGGCGACCTGTTTATATCACTGGAGCTAATAAAGGTTTATTAATATAATATAGTTCATCGGCGGCACAGCGGGAGAGTGCTGGCCGACCACTCAGGTGGTCCGGGGTTCGATCACTGGTCACCGACGCACTCCTTAACCTAACTAAGCCACCAATAAGACTAGTAAAGAGGGAAGGTTGAGCGTGAGGCTAGCCAGTCCATCCCGTAAAAATAATCACCACTGCTACCGAAACTTCAAGTCTCTAGCTTGAAGGCATATTTGTAAAATCTCAGTGAGATTGAAATGAGTAATTCCAACGTTTCCTACGTTCAACAATCTGGTCCGAACTTCTTCAGGGAAATTAGTCGAAATGAACATAACAGAGGTTTATATATATAACGAACATCTCTTGTTTTTAAAAACTTTGTCCAATCATGTGTCATGAAACAGGTATCAACATGTATAATAAACAAAATTGTATGAGCTGTGATCAAAATTTGACCTTGGGACTTACAACTATTGGTGTACTTTTGTCAAACACTTTAAACAGTGTGTACTTTTATATATGTCCAAACCAAGTTCATTTTTAACAGTTTGAAAAAATTTGGGCATTAGGTATATGATATTCATTAGAATAAAGGTCCTTTTTTGTATTTCCCAATGAATGAAAAAGAGCAAAACGATATTGTCGTTGCTCCTACTAACGTTTCGCTATTTAATGCTGCTAATAACTTTATCAAAGCAGTATTATTAAACTGGAATTTACAAAATCTCAGCATATATATATATATATATATATATATATATAACAAAGAGTTAAGAGTTGAGAAAATAGACTTAAATTGAATATTGTTCAAAATAGACGTAGGTCAAGTTAAAGGGACATAATGAAAGTCAAAATAACAATGAAGATCATTAAACCAAATAACAGAGGTAATAGTACGTTTGTTATGATATCAAAACAAAGTTTACTAACTTGATCATCGTTCGTCAGTCTGGGGGCATTTTTCGTTGTCAAATTGGCCAATTTGTAAAAATAACAAAACCAAGTGTAGATTGTTGGATTTGATAAGTGTGTAAAATTATAAAACTGTGTGTGTTTATATGATGATATTGCTTATCACATTCGTGTTGATTTTGTCGCTTCAAGGGGGAAGGAGGTGTTGTAACCTGGTTACAGCTATTAGCATTAAATAGCGAAATGTCAGTAAAAACAATATCGTTTTGTTTTTCATTCATTGGGAAATGAATGATGCTCACTAGCGACTGGCCCTATTTAGGTAGTTAACCTGGGGTTCTAGTGGGAAGCCGTGACCAGTAGGATACAGCCGGTCGAAGATGAGGCAGTAACTCACCGAAGAAGACATTGTGAAATGTTCACGCTATGTCGTGAATTGACAGAAGTTAGAATTCAAGAACCACTGGATCGGGTCCCAGTGGCTGAATGGTATACGAGATAGCTTGTGTTATAACCGGACGCTCCTGGGTTCGAACCGTGGCAGTGGGTGCGTACTACCGATGATTCGCAAACTAGGCTTATGAAACAGCTGTCCCGTACTCCAGTGCCGGATTTCAACGGTTCTCTAACTGATATCAATCCGTGATCAACTCGTAAAAACAAAACTATAGAAAACAAACTGTTAGTATCTAGAATTTTATGATTAGACGTGTTTTCAAAATTTTCGTGTTTAGGATTTTTCCACTGGGAACGTAAAGGATTTATATATATATAACATTACACAATGTTATATTTCTTTGCATACATCTAATCTATTTTAATTCTTCTTTGTTTCTCGTTTCCAGGACAAGTACTTTGTGCTCTTCGTAGTCTAGAACGATGGGCTGATAATCTTGAGCTATCCACTGCATCATCAACTGACTGTGGAAATCACCAGTCATCAGTATTTCTCGAGACGAACTCTTCATCTATCAGTTTCAGCCGTAATAGTTCCACAGAAGCAGAACAATTTTCAACTCCTCCAGCTATTGTTATCCCATCAGCTCAAGTACCTGGTATCAGTCTGTTTGTTGTGAAATCCAACTGGGAACTAGTTCATACCCTGTTGCAGAGTAAATACATCCAATAAAAATGAGAAACACACCCATATACATATACACTGCCTATTTTTATTCAGCGAAATTGTCATGCATTTCTTGTTGTTTTGTTTGTTTGTTTGTTTTTTTTCATTTCTGACCCCCCTCAACTCCCCGGCTGACACAGTTCATCAATCCTTGCTTTGTGATGATCATCTCCAATACTTCATTTATTGTTTGTTGGCTTGTTTTTGTTTTCTTTTTTAACAATTGAGATTGTGTACATAATATATTATTCATACATACCACCCTGCATACTAAAAAAACAATTTGACCTAACAACTCTCTGATGATTTCAAGCTGTGTGTCGATTATGAAAAATCGGTATATTATATTTTCTGGTCTCAGCATATATTTATATATATATACTAATATCCTTATAATATTTTTCCATTGTACCACAAGCTAGGCATCTGCATCTTCCCCTCCCCACCTTCGAGGCCGCAGACACCGCCGCTGTCACCTTCACCTCCACCCTCGTCCTCCCCGTATTCTTTGTCTGTTTTATTTTTCTTCCTACAGCTTTTGTGTAACTGAGGTCTTATTGTCGCTGAATAACAATAATAATAATATTAATTATAATAATACAAAAAGTGATAATTAATTCAGATTCATTCGGGATGTATTTTCTTTTTACTACAGAAAAAAAAAATCCTTATTTAGTTAGACATTGACTGAATGAAGAGATATTCACTTTTCAATTCACCCTTCGACAGATTCTGGAACAGAACATGGGGATACTTATCGTTGACATCTATCAATCGTCATATTTGTTGACCTGAAAGCGACATTCACTTCCGTCGACCGAGTCGTACTATGCCGATGTCTAGCTATTTTGAAGGGAATGCCAAGAAAATGCATTGCACTGATCAAGGCACTCACTCTACTCGAACTCATTCAACCAGGTAAGAGATTCCGGCGAGTTGTCATCTGATAACTGTGGTGACAACCATTGGTGTCCGTTAGGGACGTCCACTGTCCGCATTTCTCTTGAATTTCACCATAGATACCGTACTAATGAACTTAACCCTAAATGACTTCAGAGAATCAGGGATTGACTTGCTACCAGGGAATAATCTCGCTAAGAAAATGCAGAGTCCTCTGAACACCTTGAGCTGCAACCTAAGAATGTTTGGCATGCGATTCGCTCCCGCCAAATGTAAGGTGATGTTATAGGGCTGACTGGACTACACTGACTCGTAGTTTAGAAATAGGGAGTGAAGCGGTAGAGCACGTTGACCGCTTCACTTGTTGGGAAAGTACCATTAGTCAGTGACAACGGGTTGATCTCTGACGAAATCTCAGCTGAGTGCAGATACAGAGGGCTAGTTTTGCATATGCCAGTTTACGCCGTCTCTGGCCTAGTAGATATCCTACTGGCTATTGACCAGAGGGCGGGTGTATTGCTCATCAGTCCGCTCTGTCCTCCATTATGTCTGTGAGACGTGGCTATTGAGAGTGGAAGGCATGAAAATATTAGCTGTCTTTGATCATAGGTGCCTGCGCTGTATCTCCCGTGTGAAGTGGTATTATAAGGTGAGCCATCAGTCGAGTTCTAGGTAGATGGGAGGGGAAATCAATCGACGAGTCTGTGAAATTATATCGACTGAGATGGTTAAGACATGTGTTACGTATGCCTAGTCATTGGCTTCGTCGTCAATGGGCAATGTTAGTTGACACAGGGACAGGCTAGAAAAGAGTTAGCGGCGGTCAAACCAAAACATGGTTTCACCAGTCAATGAAATCGACAACAGTTAGTTTAAGCCAGACACGTAGGAAGGTGTAGAATTCCCGGCTGGTTGGTGTCCTCGGGACGGTAAAAACCAATGAAGGCTGGAAGCAATTGGTGATATGGCTCAAAATCGTTATCAATGGCTGACTCAGATGCATCCACTCCTTGTGATTTCCAATGAAACTATATTTTTCTTCGTTCGTTGTTACTATTCCTTCGTTTCACATATCTGTTTAGTGTCTCTATGATGCATTTCTTCTGTTGCTTTGTGTGCTACATGGAGTGTGGCAACTTGAACTGTCGCACATCAGTGCATAGTTCTATGTCGGAAGCAGAGAGACAATCTTCAATTAGATCCTCATCTCACTCTGACTCTACTCTTACATAGAAGCTATAGCAGTTTTCTTTACCTAGCAGTCGGCCGATCCATGCGTCATCTCATTATTTATTTCTCACCAGCCTGTTACACCTAAGACGCTAGAAAGTTAGAATGCAGACACCTATGACCAAGCACAGCTAGCTAACTAGCCAGCCTGGCTTCTCATGTCTGTCACTCTGAATGGCCATTTCTCACTCAGCCAGCTATTAAAGTAGACGCAGCTTTCTGAGAGCCCATAACACAAAAGTCCTACTCACTCGCGTCATTTTTGAAATATCGGGTATAATTGAATAAGCCACTTAGAAGACAAATTTCGCGAGAGCATATGTTCATTTCGTCGTTTCTTTACAACCACTTTACAACTAACATGGTTAACAATGATAAAATAAAATAAATGACAATTACTCAGTTATATGAAACAAATGACCAGTCATATTTAAATAGGTCAAGTAGTCAGTCCATGGTAGGCAAAGGTTGAAGTCTATTGTTTTGACTCTACACATAGTTTAGGATCTATGTGATTAATCCCCAAAGGGCTTCCATCACCTTTAATAGTCAACCTTGAATCAAAGTTATGTGATGAAATAATTGTGAAGCAGTCATTAATATTGATTGATTTTGTGACCTGACATTCATTAATAAGTGCTTTGCAATTGATGATGCTGAATTTCTATTCAGATTAATCGCGTTAAGATTTTCAATATGATTTAGTAGCCATTTTTGAACACGTTCCTTTCGACGACATTGGAGGATTCTATTGGTTTTACCTATATGAGTGTCACCGTAGCTGCAGGTGAACTCGTAGAAACAGTGTGAATTAGAGTCCACAGAATTTCGCCTTTTAATCGTAGATGCAGGTATGGAAAATGTTCGAGATGTGGCGTAGAATGTGCGTTTGATGGCTAACCGAATTCTTTTAGCCGTCAACTGCACAGTTTGATCACTCAGGTTAATAAAGACAGATAGCTTTCTTTAGTACAGAAGCTTATTTTTCGAGATGTGGTCTTTCCTTACTGTGACAAGTGATACAGTTTTCTGGATAACCAATAGCTAATAAAACTGAATGTATATGTCGAAACTTATCTATCAATGTGTCACTCGTGCATATTTTTCGGGCCCCTTAGGACAAACATTTCTTTATGGAACGTCGGTGGCACAGTCGTTAGGACTCTCACCGACCATGCACATGGTCCGGGGTTCGAGCCCTCGCCGACGCACACCTGATATCTGGTCGGCCTGCAAAATTTGGGCTACCGATATCCACGCTGAAAATTCCATACCTGTACCAAAAATACAGTGTGGAATCAAGCTGTAATCAAAAATTAAAAAAATAATAAATTTATACTGGATAGGAACAAAACTAGTAAAATGAAGATATAGGATTCTTTATAATAAGGCAGGAATTAGGGTGGCATTCAAAACTACAAAATACTCAGGTAGAACAAGCTCTGTAGGTTAAAGGACCCCGTTGGTTGACCTAATTTGCAAAATACCCTGCAATCACTGTGAGTTAGATGAACTACACAGGTCAAACTAGTAGGTCGGGGGTAGTCAGATTGTCGGAACATAAGAATTTAACTACCGTGAGAATGGTTGACCCCGAGAAGATAAGTAATTTAGAAAATAGCCCAGCTATTGCACTTCACTCATTAACACACAATAGCATGGTGGGAGAGGGTTAGGATTCTGAGAAGTAATCTATGCAGGTGGAGAGAGGGGTTGATTACTGAATCGTGGCTGGTTCATTGAATCGAAACCCAACACAACACATGCAACAGAAATGACTCAATGCAAATACCAGAGATATGCATGTAAGTTATTATTACCACCAGTCAGTCAGTGAAATCAGAGGAGGATAATAAATAATCTAAAAATTCTATTTCAATTCAATACCAGCACATCACATCATTCTAACAAGTTACTTATTATGACTATATGAACACTCGTCTTGTTTCCTATCTGATTGTATTTGATCACTCATAACACTCATATTATTATTATTTCTGAATGTACATTATCCTATATAGATTTTTTATTGAGATGTCTAATCGTCAATTCCACTCATGTATATAAATGAAGGTAAAAAGTTGTGTGAGTGAGTGACTTGATATGATGATTATAAGTGGGAATAATAATTTATGCTCGAAGCGTGTGGTCGTATCAGTTAATATTACTGTATAACAAACAGTACACACTGTGACAGTTTATCAAAATAAAATCTTATCCATAATGGAGTTATACTCTACCACAACAGTGACCAAGTTTTATAGTTATATCAAGAAGTTGAATAAGTTTACTATGGTTGAGTAATAAGATGAATAATTAAATGAGTGGGTTTTGATTAAGATGTACACGGAAGTGAAGCGAAGTTAAATATGGAATCCTTTAAGAGTTTTGAGGATATGCAAGACTTCTAAGGAGTTAAAAAATAAAGGCAGGCACACAAAAATGAAGTGATTAGAAACCGACACGGATATTTCCACTGTAATAATATAAGTGGTTCAATGATTTCTCTTTGTTTACGTAACTCTGGTTACTCCAACTGAATGTCTAAAGCCTTCAGCAATATAAAGGAGACGAAAGATTATTGCCTTTAGTAGGTCATTCTTGATTGGCTATGTAGATTACTTTGAAGCAGGAGGCGTTGGATGAGTGTTATTGACAAAATGTTTGATGATGATCGCACTCCTTGTAAAGTCACTATTACTACTACTACTACTACTACCTTTATGCAGCCATGTTGTGAGATAGTGTTCTCATATCCTTTTAGAGAGGATACGCGTCGAACGATGAATGTACCTGGCTGGCTCCACAGCATCAGGTGAACTGACAGCGTTACTGCGAAGAATGTTCATACGAGTCATATTCTGTTCTCTGCAGTC